TTTTTATGAGATGGCTTCTATAAATAAAAATGGTTTATTGCTGGCGGATTCTTAATTTTACGAATGCTTATAAAGAAATTGGGTTACGGGATCCAATCTAAAGATATTTCGGGTTACTTTATAACCAGGAAAATAACAAAATATTATCATCCGAAGGTACTTTGTTGAAAAACAAGCAGTTGACATATATTCATAATAGCTGGCGTTAAAAACATTTCATCACCTGATATTATTACAGTGCAATATAAAACAACTTTTTAGAAATATGATTTTAATCCCTAAACACGTGGAAAAAATTATATCCTGTATCCTCATTCCATGTTCTATAAGTGCCTGATAACTCACAGACAGTTGACACAAATCGCATGATCTAAGTGACCGCATATTTAGCATAATCTTATGAGTTTTATATATCCACTGTCTGTTATCAGATGATGGACGATGGTGATTAGGGAAACAAGGGCGAAATAGAAGCTATGAACACAATGGAATAGTGAAAGACTCTTGACGCTGGTGCTCCCGAAATCTAACAGGTGTTCTCCCGAATTTTTACCTGTTATCTAAGCCGTAGTATAATTCGACAATATTTGGATAGTATACCAAAGGGCATCGTCTATACCTAGAGAGAGGTCAACAAATTACAGTTCTTTCAAGAGACAATGGTACCTCTTCAAAGTCCCTTAAAAAAAATTACAGTTAAAGCAAAACGGACAGACACGCAAAACTGAATATCAACGAAATAAATATAAAGCTTCAAAGAATAGGAAAAACTGCAGGTTGATTAGTGGAACAAGTAGTAAGTTTTGAAAATCAATTTAAAAAACAAAGATTTGTGGAGTTCGAAATTTACGAGTCTAAGTAGCAGCTCAGAAGATCTGGACAGGCAGCAATGTCTTTCGATGTTGCAGTATATAAGTGGACAGTTCCTTACCTGAGGAACTAATTTTCGATACCTGGAATAGTCTTCCGGAATGCCACGATCAAATAAAAAAATCGATTTGGTGTGCTGCTAATCTTTGGATCAACGCGCGAGCAAGTTTTCTCTTCTATGAACTTAATAAGGAACAAGCTGGAAAACCAAAAAACTAATCAAAATTTAGAGTCAAGCCAAAACTTCCTAGAGAAATATAAGGTCACCGTTCGCATTGATTTTTTAATATAATTCCAGGCTTGTTTAGCCTAATACCATATTTTGTATCAATAATATTATAAATAATAATGAGTAAAGTCGTTTTTTATTTAATTACCACTTATTCATCCGATACAAATTTGAAATAAAATATGAAGCCGAATTAAAAATTCCTGGTTCTTTGAAATCCATGAAACAATACTTTTATTGCGAACGGCTCTTGCCGACCCCTGGCTTAGATCATTGGTTAGCATTTAGAAGGATACAGGTTCAATTTCGCCACCCACCAACATTAGTAACTGGGAATAAACTACCCAAAAATTTAAAGTTTATACCAACTATACTTTTGTCATACTATTACCGATAGAACAAAGCTCTTTTATTTTAACCATGTCATTCCTTCATAATGACAATGATTACAACGCCTTGTTCTATCTCGCAAAAGATAAACGCACAGGTAGGTACTTATAAACCCGAATGAAAAATAACTTTTGCATACTTATATTTACAATCAGTTAAGAGAAAGCATCTTCTTCGTTACGTAAGGCAACCATTTGCTGTACCTTCTGCTGGGTACGACAACGTGTTCTACATTTCAATGATCATTACCTTTCAAACTACAACTAGCATCCAAGTACCTATCGGCTGTTACAAGAAAATATTCTTACGTAAAACAACCTCAACGATTATTATCAAAAAGTTTAAAGTTGAAACGACGCAATGTTTCAAGCTGAAGCTGCGTTTTTGTTCATCAATTAATGTTCACGTATGACTTTGAAAGCTTAATGAGGCGTCTGATTCGTCATTATCAACGATTAAATTTTTCCATAGGTTTTTGGAAACAATAATTGCAACTGCAATCGTTCCGAAAACTTTAAAGAATTGTCAGAAAGTATGTTACCGAGTTTACTGAGAATTCTTTTGGTCATTATTACGGCAGGCCATAATTTTATTATATAATGCGTAAGTGCCTACTTATGGGCAAAAATAGGACACCGCCTATCACGTAAATCCATTCGTGCAGATCTTTAAACTTTATAACGTATGTCGGCAGGTGTAAATGTTGCAAAACTACGACTTGACAGGTTTTAAGGAATCCCAAGGTTATATTTTGCAAGAACCATCAACCTCTACATTTGTTTTCATTAAATATCTCCACGCTTATTAACATAAATATTACAGTTTCTCAGAAAAAAAAACTCTTTATTGGTATATGAATTATGCCAAGCCTAGATTTCTTTGGTAAGAATAATAGTTTTTCATCGCAAGTAATTCTTAATTCAATTTTCACATGATATCCTTTTGATTTGGAAGGTAGATACTACGGCCAAAAGAGTTGAAATCATGTAAACTTATTTTGACAGAACATTTGTTTGAATAATACCTATGTGCTTTAAATAATTATAAAACTAACTACTACTAGAAAACATAGTGGATGAATTGGGTTATTTGATCAGATAGATGCTGATCTCTCAATGCCGTCATTAGAATAATAATTGTTTTCATTAAACAAACTTGTATATAAAATTTTTCCGTCGCTTTTAATAAAACAAAACCCATGAAAATCGTTAAAATAAATGAAAATCACTTACCGATTCTCAACAATATTAGTTTATGTCAAATTATCTTGGCGTCCAAGGCGGCCAGAATCCTGCTTGCTGTTACTCACTTTTGTTTCAATTATTGAAGCGTCCGATTAGGCGTAACTCCCGAAATTATGCGATAAAATTCAAGAACAACACCTAAATATTGATATACACTACACAAATTCATTGCAATAAACAAATTTGTCCGCTAGAAAGAGAATTTTCGCCGGAGTAGAACGTTCTCGAACTGTCGGAATCTACAATAGGAACCACGGCTTGCCCGATTCCAACGATTCGCGGAAAATTTGACAGAACCTGGTCGAATTCCATAAAACAAAAGAAATTATTAATATCCATATAACAATTATTACATAAAAACTAATTAACATAATGTCTTTATTTCTTTAATTTTAATTAGATATTGCTTAATCACAATGAATTCGTGTTACTATTATTATTATCGCAAAATGTTTTAGATGAAAATTAATCAAACTTTAATAACATATGAAAAAATATTTACTTACTGAAGAAAAGTAGTGTAATAAACTTGTTTGATTACTTTTATGTGCAAACTTTCTTGATTTTAATTAAGGGGTCGATGAAAAAAGGATAATTTATTCATAGGTACCTAGATGAAAACTATGTTTGGGCTTTTCCATCTATGGAAATGCGTTTTATATGTAACAGGCAGGCTTGGTTCATGAACTGTGGGTTCAGATCACATAAATCGATGCAAGAGATCGACAAATAAAATCGATGCGTTACCATTTAGATCAATGGCGTTGGGTACAGCATCATGAGTCACGTTCGCGAATTTTCCGGACAAAAAGACATTGTAAGTGTAGTGTTTAGTGGTAATTAGTGTTGGACAATTAACGTTTTGTGACTTTTGAGTGCTTTTTGACAATAGATGATTTGGATAAGTTCCATATTCCATGAGCTTCCTTGGATTATCTCCAGTAAGGTAAAGTTCTATTTCAATTTTTAAATGTTTTGCTGCTTTATTATCATGCTTATGTGCTTTTACAATTGAAAAGGCAAAAGATGGTCAATTTTACTGGTATATTTTATCTAATACTGATTCCTTCGCAATGGAATCCTCATCAAATTGACTCATGTCTGCATCGTGGGTCCCTCTATATCAAAAGAAGCATTCTAATGATGTCAAAATTGTTGCAATAGTTGTTGGTTAATGTTTAGGATAAGAACTGCATAGATGGCGGAGATTAAAACTTTTTGTGAATGATAAGTTTATAAAAAGTCATAAAAAAAGTTAATTTTGATCGTAAGGTGGGATATGATATGATGGCACTTATATAAGAATAAAACGTAGTTACATGGGTTAATTTAATGCAAAAAGATTAATTCTTTATTAAAATAACTCTTCATCAGCATAATCTATGTACCTACAGGAAAACTTTTAATTTAATAATCAATATCAATTAGATTTTTGATTTTATCTTTAAACTAAAGATCCATGTGGATGAAACTTTTAATCTATTAACATATTCCTATTATGTATACCATAAACGCATATAAATAATAGTTATTAGAAGTTGAATGATTGCAAAGTATGTTCTGTATTTCTTGCATACTAACCGCAAGTTAGCTGTTACTTATGTCGAGTGGGAAGGCATGTACATACATTCTAGAAGGCTGGAAGGTCATTTGTACTATTTGTTTACTACATAATTGGAAATTAACATATCGAAATTTAACAGGAACAATACAATGCAACACATGGATAAGTAGTTATTAAAATTAGACATCTAACATGTCAATCGTTTATTGGGACGTGATTACTCATGCTTATGCTATTGAGAGATATGTATCGCAATGATATTGAGCAGTAGCTTATGTTTGGTTACCTATTTATACTTGTTTTTAATAATTTTTTGATTAAGGTTTCGTACTAGGCAATAATTTTAACAAAAACACTAAACGTGAACAAAATAACTGATGAAATCAATGAGTCATTTGATTTTGAAGTCGCTCATTTATTTCATCTACCACCAAATGCAGAAATACTCAGTGTTGTGAGTTATTTGGTTTATATCTATTACTGTTCATTTACAATGCTTAATATTCAAGTTGTTCACCTTTGAGGAACTTCTCCAACTTGCTCTGGGTCTCTCTTTCTCGGATCTCTTGATTAATTTTGGCCAGATCGATCGCATTTAAGTTGACCGTTTCCAAAACGGCCCTGCTGAATTTTCTTTCCTCTTCCACGGGACTGCTCGTCAATGTTTTCCTTTTCTTCTCATTTTCCCGATCCGCCTCCAATTTCAACAATTCTCGATCGATAATCGTGGAGATAATGTGCATGCTATCAGTTCTGATCGATTTATAGTTATTCTGGTCCAATTGGGGAATGCTGATCCTTTTGGGAGTTTTTGGGATTGGATACGGGTTTTTCCACTTCAGTAAACACGCGGGACAGTTCAATCGACGAATGGACACTCGCGCATGTTCAAGAATACTTCCTCCGGAAATGGAATCTGACTGAGTTTCGCAACTTTTCTCGCATTCGTGTTCTTCGATTTTCTCTTTTAACTTCGCTAGGTCGCGTTGGATGGCTCTGTTAGTTTTCTTGCTTCAAAAAAGCGGTTTCCCAAAAGATTAGTGTCGATATTCGATTCCGCTGTTTATTAGATACTAAGGAACCCAATTTTTGTGGGAATACTTATGCGAGACCCGCAGGATTTACAGGACAGAAGAAAAAATTGATTCGCGGATTGATAACTTCGATCCCGCAGGCTTTCGATAGGGAAGAAAAAGTAAGGAAAAAGCGAATATAAATATAGGACACCAAAAATTAGAAGAAGTGGCCGATTTTAGGTATCTAGGAAGTTAGATAACTCAGGAAGGAAGGAGTAGTAGGGATATAAAGCAGAGGAAATGTGGTGCTACAGACGAATGATGAGGATACCGTGGATAGAGAAGGTTAGAAATGAAGAGGTATTAGAAAGAATAGGAGAACAGAGGGCGCTATGGAAGTCAATAAAAAGTAGGCGAGTTAGGTTACTGGGACACCTTCCCAGACATGAAGGTCTAGTCAGAGACATATTAGAGGCAGAAACGGAAGTTAGGAGGGGTAGAGGTAGACCTAGATTAGATTACTGTTCGCAAATTGTTAAGGATGTGGGTTGTTCTATTTTTAGGGAAATGCGAAGATTAGCTCAGGATAGGGAAGAGTGGAGGTGCGTGTCCAATTAGTCTTAGGACTTATGAGGATGATGATGATTAGATACGTTTCAAAAATTAAAGGAGCTGTTGTCGCCGGAACATAATTCATATGTAGGCAATTGCTACTTTTGGATGATTTTTCGTGCTACTTTTTTGCGATCTAGGTTCGAATAATTTCACGCCAAAATATTATCGAAGAAACATTTACAATCCAATTACTGGCCGCCGTCAGTGTTATTATTTTATTATTTATTATGGCTAGTTTGAGATTCAAACACCAACCGTATACCGTCTACTGTTAAATGACTATTTGCAGCCGTTGGCTAGTTATCGATTCAGTTGATGTTCAAAAGTGTCTGCACAAATCAATGTAAACTTAATAGCGTTTGGTTGAATACCAATTAACGCCTGAGATATGCCTTTCTTTGAACCGCCTGAGACTTGAATAGAAATGACTCCATTGTATTCCTCTTTGAAAAATTGACACGTACACCAACCATTGTGCGTCGAACAGTTCTACATACTACTATTAAAAACTAACCAAGCCCGTCTAAACTGAATAATACGTACCAATAAAAAATTATTCCTATATTCAATTGAACCAAAATTTAGAAACGTACAACTAACTTTCTGTTATTAAGGAAACAATCCACAATTTTTAATCTAATTTAAACTATTGACGATGTAATGTGAAACGTTAAACGTTATAGACTTGTTTCAAGGGTTTCAACTCGATCCCTTCGTTCAAAATCCGCCAACCAAGAATTCAGATTTCATTGGTTTAGTGTTTAAACGACTTCCCATGTAGGAATTTTAATTCTGGCCCGAGATTGGCAACCAATATTGGACCGAGATGGCAAACGCTTCGTATGCAACTTGCCTGGTTGTCAAGCTTGGTCCATTACTGAACAGAAAATGCTGAACCAAGACTTGTCATATCGTTAATGTTTTGGGAATCACACTATTGAGTATCTACTATATTTCCACTTACCAGTTTCAATTATTATAGTTTTCTTTAACTTTTTACCTTACCTTAGCAAATCCGCTAATAAATCATAGTCAATATCCACCAGGACCTTTGCTTCCTTCAGAGATATGTTTCCTTTCGTATTGTCCTTATTGAGTACTTCAACAGAAGCAATTGAGCTGATTTCATCTTCATATTCTGGAAGCTTGTTCAGTGGCTTGACGATACTTATTTCCCTAGAAAGTTTCTTTCGAACGTCCTTCGAAGAACTTGCTGTAGAAATCAATTTTTCAACGATAAACGTATTCGTTTCGGAAGTATCCTTTTTACTAGTCGAAGCCAAAAATTTTCCTGCTACAGACGCCGTTGCACTCATAGGAATACTGACGTAAGAACTGTGAGTGCTTTTGGTGGATTTGGCATAAGGGATTGATGACCCGTCTATGTCTTCGCTCGTCCTTCTGGTGGTCTGTTTTTTTGTCGGATATTGCAGGACGTTGAACCTGATGCTATCGAGGACTGTTTCTAATATTTTTAAGTTTGAGGATACTTTTAGATCGTGGACCATGATCTTGGACGACTGGATTAAATAAAAGGATTCGCAGCTATAATTTTAAAAATGTACGTTTCAGATATATAGAATAATAGTCTAAATTGACTTTATTCCATGTAGGTACCTAGTGACTATGGTTTGATGCTGTAGATCTCGTATGAACATTTGACATTCTGACTTTTCCAAAACCTTTTCGAGATCTTTAGGATTTTCTGCAGTTGTTACCAACGTTTTAAGTTTAGATGGACTAGAACTGTTCAAAGCCGTCAGTACCGTTGTAATAATGGTTTGAATCTTTTCGTTTATGAGGATCCTACCGTTTAGTCTGTCATCGTTTATTTGGACCTTCACATCAGTTTTTGGCTTCCTCTTGGGAGGTTGATCTTCAGGTTGTACATCTATTTATCAGTAAATGACATTGCATGACACGTAACTGTAGACTGTTTGTACTGTTACACAACCTTTACGGATTTAGAACAATATCTATAACTGTAACTCTCTGATTGACTCGGAAAGCTCATTCAATATTCAAAATCCGGTGACATATTATGTATCTCGTTTAAAACTGTTCATCTACCTTTTATGTCTCTACAACTCTACTAAATTTTAATCGTAATGTTCGGGACAGAGTGGTACTCATTAATCACTCAATAACCGATAACACTCGGACGTGAACGCATCTTATTACACTTCTTTGTGAGCTAATGACATTGAATATACCACGTTCACCACGACCAATTGTCTAACTGAATTTTATTACCTACTGACGAATTGATAAATGGTTATGAGTTGCTAATAGTTTTTTTTTTTTTAATATGGTCATGTCAATTTCATTCGTTTTTGATTGGAAGCAAACCGTGTCTTCTAACAATTCTATTGGATCTATGTTTACCTAAGACATAAAGGGGTAACATTTTGACCATACGATTCTCCGGTTTCCTCCTCTTGGAACGTTCCAGCAAACGTTCCAAAGGACACTGGTCTTTTGAAACGTAACCTACTGGTTTGACAACGGGTGCCAACATTTCAAATCTATGAGCAGTCAGCAGATGTAGACAGAGAACTTTTTCGATATCCAAATCGTCATTGGTAAACAGCATGTTATGCAGTTCCTGTAAACGGATTTATCTAAAAGGGTGTTTTGGAATAATATGCCAGGGTAAAGGTCTAGATGATGGCCCCCACTCCCGAAGTGGGAATCGAAAAAGGAGGTCTCCTGCTACCATTGTACCATAAAAAGTTCGTGGCGGCCTTACCCCCATAAAAAGTTGTGGGGATTAGATGATGGCCCATTCGGGGGTGGTGGTAGGGGGTATCGAAAGAGGGTAGTCACCTGAGTAAAACTCCTTAAAAAAATTGCGGCGGTCTCACCCCCATAAAACGTTGATTATTTTGACAATTTTCATACACTATAATTCAAATAAAATTCAATAAAAAAAATATTTCCAAGCGGGTGGAGGTGGGGGATCGAAAAAGGGTGGTCACTTGAACAAAACCCGATAACCTAACCTAACCTACCCTAACCTAACCTAACCTAACCTGACCTAACCTAACCTAACCTAACCTAACTTACCCTATTGACAAAGATATTTAAATAATGTTATGTATGTTTAGTAACTTTGAACCCCCATAACTTTTTATGGGGGTGAGACCGCCACGAACTTTTTATGGTACAGTGGTGGGGGAGACCTCCTCTTTCGATTCCCCCTTCGAGGGTGGGGGCCATCATCTAGACCTTTACCTATGCCAGAAGTTGAGTATAATAAATATGTTCAAATGTTTAGAATAAATTGATTGGTTTTTGGTATTGGCGAAAGAAGTACAATAAATTGTGCAGTGACCCAAATTCTTTGGTAACATAATGTACCGGTGCGGTTGTATATAACGGGAAAAAAGAATGTGCCAGCGTTCTTTATTATATGGTTAATATATGTTCGACTGATGAACTGTGTACCTTTTTCATGTAACACCACAAAACACAACGGCCGAAGATAATGTTACGCATTCATTAAACACTTGTGCGTATACATACTAGATACTATCTTGCAAGTGTTTACATTTGATTCAAGTTCACGCTCGCGACTAGATAGCCAGATGAGGAATTGTTTCAACACGTCCTCTATCTACATATGTTCCCGGTAAATATTTGCGATTATGTAAAAGAAGTTGAGATGTGACAACATGATAATGAGAAACGTTTGAAAGTAGTACACAAAAATGTCGAGTAGGTAGGTACTCCGTATTACAGCATATACAAATTGACCTTAAATATTTTTTTATTGTTTGTTTAGTTTTTGACCTTGAGGGCTTTTTAGGATTACTGTATTTGTTTTTTTTTTAAGGTTTTATAGAAACTGAGGAAATTGTTATGGTATGGTCTAAAAGCAGGGGTGCATTTATTAGATTGTATATATTATAGGCTTTCTAAGTTTTTGACAGTGCGATTACTTTTTGGCTCGTTTAGGTAGTTCTCCTTTTTGTACTTCGTATTTAACCCCCGTGGCCGATTTTAGGTATCTAGGAAGTCAAATAAGTTAGGA